TGGAAATCCCACTTTCTGCTGAACTCTCGGAAATCTGCGCTAACGAACTGCGGCCCGTTGTCCGAGACTACTACCTCCGGTATTCCGTGACGAGCAAATTGACATCGTAGCTTATTCACCACTGCGTCTGTACTGGTCGTAGCAAGAGCATCGATTTCAAAGTAGTCACTGAAATAATCAACCAACAATAAGTAACCTTTTCCATCGTGGATGAAGATGTCTACTGCAACCATCTGCCAGGGCCTGTCCGGAACGTCACGGAGCATTATCGGTTCTTTTGACTGACGTACATCGTGTGTTCGGCATGCCAGACAATTTGAGACGTAATCCCGTATTTTGCTGGTCATTCCCGGCCAAAGCATTAGCTCTCGCGCTCTGGCCACACAATTGTTGACTCCCAAATGTGCATAGTGGACAAGCTCTGTCATCGTGCGCTGCAACGCTTTGGGGATTAGTATCCTATTGCTTTGAATATCAACCCATCTTGGACAATGAGTTCATCACCAAAATGGAAAAACGGGGTCAGCTCTCCTGGTAGATCTTTCTTGTTGTTAGGCCAGCCACTTAGTATTGTCTGCCTCAGTAGCTTGCCTAACTCATCTTCCTCCGTGCACTGCTGGAGCTGTTTCAATCTCTCCTCGGTAACAGCTACAAGTTGAGCTGCATGAACGAAATCTGAATCTGCGTCTTCCTCTGGTGTGTCTGACAGATATGCCCTGGATAACGTGTCTGCGATAAGCATATCGGGACCAGGTCAATACACAATCTCTAGGTCGTACTTTTGAAGGCGAATAAGCATTCTCTGTAAGCAGCGGGGAACAACATGTAGCGGCCTGTTGGCGAAGGAAACCAACGGTTTGTGATCTGTAAACACTGTAGTCTTCCTGCCAAATGTATGGTCATTAAGTCGTTCGACGGTGTAAACCACTGCAAGAATCTCTTTTTCTATCTGGGCGTAACGACGCTCGGTCTCTGTCAACGTCCTACTGCGAAAATCGATGGGTTTCCCATTCTGCATGAGTACGGCCCCGATACCAAATTGACTGCTGTCGCATTGAATCTCGAGGGAGATTAGCGGATTATAGTAGGCGAGAACAGGTGCGTTAGCGATGAGTTCCTTGATTGCCTGGAAGGCCTCTTCTTGTTCTGCACCCCAATGCCAGCTTTCGCCCTTATGAGTCAACTTCCTGATGGGTGTCTTAACATCAGCTAACTTGGGCAGGAACAGGCTCAGATAATTGATCATCCCATTTAGCCTGCCAACCGCTTTCACATCTGTGGGGGACGGCATATCCCTTATAGCTCTTACTTTCTCAGGGTCTGGTTTTAGCCCTTCCGCGCTTAACACATGCCCATGAAATATAACCTCTGTACTGCGTAGTTCGATCTTTTCGCGTTTCAGTTTGATATTTCTTTCAACACAACGTTGTAAAATGCTACGAAGGTTCTGATCGTGCTCTTCACGAGTAGCGCCAAAAACCAACACATCGTCCGCTACGCAGAATACTCCCTGTAGATCGTCCAGCGCTTGCATTAGTCGCTTCTGGAAGATTTCGCTAGACACTTTCAGTCCAAACGGTAAACGAAGCCAACGGAACCGCCCGAATGGTGTTCCGAAAGTTGTCATGTAGCTTGACTCATCATCTAGTGATACGTGCCAGAACGCAGAGGCGAGGTCGACTTTCGTGAACACTTTAGAATTGCATAACACCGGCAGCATGTCGTCTAGTGTCGGTAACGTAAAATACTCTCTCTTGAGTGCGGCATTAAGCGGTTTCGGATCAATGCATATACGCAGCTCGCCTGACCATTTTGTAATAATCGCCACCTGGCTGACCCAATCAGTCGGTTCGTCAACTTTAGCTATCACTCCCAGACTACAGAGACGTTGCAACTCATTCAAGAACTTTTCTCGCAAAGCAATTGGCACCTTCCTAGCTGGTAACGCCACCGGTGTTGCTAGCTCGTTTAACGATAAGTGAGCGGGTCCCTCGAACATCCCTACTCCGCCATCAAACACACTCGAGTACTTATCAAAAATATCTGCCTCGACGTCACACGCATGAACAAAACCTTCGTGGTTAAAAGGAACAAAACCAAAACGCTGGATAGAATCAATGCCCAGAATGGGCATAAGATCTTCCGAAACAATCCGGAACTCCAGCGGGTGCTCTGTTCCTTCCTTTGGATTGACCGTCTCCAAAATGACGATGCCCTTCGGTTGCAGCCTTGAGCCGTTCCACATTTTGAGACACTTTTGAGTTTCTTCACATTGCACCCCCTTGCAGTATTTTTCAGGCAAGATGTTAACCGCAGCCCCGGAGGCAAGCTGAAAACGTACCGGTTGTCCTCGAACCAAAAGTGTTCAAACACGCACTTGCTTTTCGCCCAGCCATCCATGTTGTTTCTCAACAATGCTTGTTCCCGTTCTCTGGCATCGTCGGCAACCGAACTCACTCTGTATGATCTACAGCAACGAGCAAAGTGACCTTCCTTGGAGCACTTCATGCACGTCCGACCCCACGCTGGACAACTCTCCTTCTTCTTTTGGTGCCTGCGGCCGCAAAACTGGCAATCAGTTACCTGTTCATCGGGTGATTTCGGGATACGTCCCTCGGTTCGGGATACTGCGAACAACTCCGTATTCTTTTCGGCGCGCAGATGTTCGACTTGCTGATCTGTCCTGGCCTCACTGAGGCAGATGTCGACACACTGTTCCAGTGACAAGTTCCTTTGTCGCAGAAACCGGCGTGTGAGTTCATCGTTCCTTATCCCAATAACGATGCGATCCCGTATCAGTGACTCCTTCATGCATTCACAGAAATTGCAAGTTCGTGCCAGGAGCTTCAATTCCGTGATGTATCTCTCGAACGACTACCCCGGTAAACGATCGCGTCCAAAAAACAGATATCGTTGGTAGGTCTCGTTCACACGCGCTTCGCAGAACTCGCCAAATGTCCGCATCACTTCGGATAGATCCGCCTTCTGGTCGCCAAACTTCAGTGTTTCAAGAACCCTCCTTGCATCGTCACCAATAGCGTGCCTAAACATTGCGAGTTGGTAGTTCATCGGCTGGGCACCCAGCTGAGTCAGTGTTGCGAAAACCGCCCACTTGCTCTTCCAAATCCGCCAACTGTCTGGTAGAGAACTCTCAGTAATCTGCAAAGGGGATGGAAACGGAATCGCCGGTTGACCTCCAACTGCAAGCTGCATCTTGGGCACCGGTTTCTTCTTCTCCTCTGTCACCATGTTATGTGACACGGACACGATCAAAAAGTCACGATGGCGGCGGGCGGAAAACAGGCGTTTATTCAGTATGGGGTAGCCTATTTAAAAGAAATAAACACTGCTAATCTTCGAGCCTTCTCAGTGGGTCTTCCTTTTTTTCGGTTCACCACATTGGTCGCGTTCCCCTTTTATTTCATTGGGTTATGTTATTCTTCTTCGGTCGCTGTCTTCCTGTCTCGCGCAATGATCACATCTTTCGTGCTTGGTATCTGATTGGCCGTATTTCTTTGGACCGCTCATATTTGGCTTTGCACTCTGAAACTTGCCGTTAATAGCGATTCTCGAGTTGCCAGTGCGCCCTCTATGTTCTATTGTCCAATCCGGTCTGTCGGTTTCTGGATACGTGTGCCACTCGTGATTCGCTGTCCAGCCATCGCTGTGTCTCCCGGTGGGTTCACGCGTTCTCTCGATCGAACTGATCTGCTGACTCCGGTAACCTGCGCTTAGGTGGTGAGGTCGAGCATACTGGACCGGTTTCCTGAACCCCGTTACAAACGCTACCGGGTGCTGCGTTGCGATGAATGAAAAATGGTAAAAGCTGGTATTTTAAGTGAACGAACGGTTGCCTTATTGAAAGGTGTATGAGCATATGACTGTAAACCATTTATTTGACGAAGATATTGCGCTCCCATGGCCGGAATATAGGAATTATGTCCGAAAACAGAAATTTATCCCCTATATGCAAAGTCTCGCCAATCGTTCAGTAAAACAAAGATAAGGTGTTCCCGGTAACTAGAAGACAAATGATTGCATTAAGCTTTGACCAAATTTTAAATGTCAATTTCGTGTTTCACACTTATGTTTATAGAAACCATTTGTTATGTCCGTTTGCAATACAGACTGGTGAAACACTACCATCAGAACGACTTATACATGATTATGAGAGAAAATGAGGAGTATATTTCTCCCACACATCAAGTAGTTATGCACAAATTGAACAATAGTGCAACTAGTAGTTATATTAATTAACATATATGTTGTATAGCAATATACGAGGCATTGCATGCTTATTCAAAGGGATTTATAATATTTCATTTGTCATTTGAAGTGAAAATTTCGTGCAGCAGACCAGTGGAACGCTGCTTTTCATGTGCCAGGTGTGAATGCACGGTTTAGTGACGTCTGCCTTACTAATGCATGGAAATAAAGTAATAGTGCATGGGCAATACTCTGGATGCAGTCACCTTCCGAGTAGCCTTAATTGAGAACCGCCCTTCCTAAAGATGGAAATCAACTGAAAACCGGTCCAAAAACACAGGTACAAAAATTCTTTTTTGCTGTTTACCATCCTGTCCACTGTGAACTTGGAGTTGACCTACGGCATCCATTGTATCCCTGTGTTGCGAGCAACGAGCATCTAGTTTGGTACAATATCTGGTTGCGCCACCGTGTGAACGCGTAGCCTATTTTCACGAAACCTGCCAGATGCACTCAACTGCTGTTCTCCACTCCAGTCTCATGCTCCTTCCAGTCTCAAGTAGGCTGTCATGCCCCGACCAAACGAAAATGCGAACACAGCACATTTCACCGGTAGATGCGACAGCGTTGTTGTCGTCGTTGTCGCACGTGATAGCCCAGGGGCCAATACCGTCCTGTGTCGTGACCTCGGCGACACAGTAGGCTGTTACGATTAGCCAATCCTCGCAGTGTAAGTCTGTCTGCGCGCACTAGCCGGGCGGACATCTATGTGGTAGCGTCGCACGCATTTCACTGGACAGTCGTCATAAACATGCCTCAGCGTATGTTGTCTCCTATCTTCGCTGTTTTCATTCACACGCTGACTGTCAGATGTAAACAAACATTTATCTCGTAGTATATCAGTGAATTTTCCTATGATGCGTTTGTCATCAACCTTCGCTGCATGGATTTCATTTACAGTAGGACTATTCCATCGAGTAATCGCTGATACTCCACCCGTGGTACACTTCGAGGTGAACGAAGAATCTCCACTGCACACCACTATAGGAAATATTTCGGCATTTATTTTACCACAGCCGACTATTACCACAGATTCCGTATTTTTCCACGTTACACCAAAGGGAGTCGTACAGCTGAGCACCCGGCTTGATTTGGAAGCCTTATGCTCAGAAAAATTGCTCTGTTGCGAACGTGACAAACCCTGCGAGTTGAGCTCCAGCGTGGTGATCGAGAGCGGTCGGTCCCGGGATATGCAAACGTTGGAGCTGCGGGTCCATGTACTGGATATAAACGACAATGCACCCACCTTTCTCACTGGAGATTCCGGTCAAATCATAGAGATACATGAGCTAGCCAGAGTTGGCTCATTGTTCGACTTGATGCCCGCCATCGATCGTGACATTGCCAGAGGAAACCAAATCCAACGTTACGCTCTACAGGGGGCTGAACTGAAGCGCATGTTTGAATTGGACACGTCCGATATGGCAGCAATTCGTTTGCGGTTACTTCGACCACTGGACTATGAGCAGGAGACTCGTTATGCTGGAGTGCTGGAAGCCTGTGATCCGCACAACTGTGTGAGACAAAATGTGACAATTAAGGTTACTGATGCCAATGACAACCGACCAGTTTTTCTTAAGACTTCATATAATGTGACGGTTCCTGAAAATTTCAGTGTTGGTCAAACCGTGTTGCAGTTGGATGCTGAAGACAAAGATTCACCTGTAAATGCTCGTATGGAATTTCGATTTCATGGTGAAACTGATCAGGGATTATTAAAAACCTTCCGTCTAGAACGTGATTCTGGGCGGATTATATCGCGTAACAATCTAGCTGCTCATCGGCGTTCTGAATACCGGTTTGAGGTGAGTGTTTCAGAAGCGAGTCCTGAATCCGGTCAGGTCCTTCCTGAGGCTGGTATTGGTTCACCATCTCCGAATCTGCTCCCCTCGTCAGCAAGTCTAGCGAGTGTGATCATTCGCGTGGAGGATCTGAACGACTTCAGTCCGATCATTAAGATGTTCTCTCCGTCCGAAGGCCAGCCTTTGTCGGTGTTGGAGAATATGCCCCCTACACGCGTTTGCGTCGTCCAGGTGTCCGACAGTGACTCGGGAGATAATGGAAGAGTAACATGCCGTCTGACTTCTCACTCATCCGCTTCTCCAGGCACATTCACCCTAACCAATAGTGGCAAATTGTATACAATATCTACCACTCGTCCCTTTGATGCCGAACGTGAACCACAACTTACAGTAACGTTAACTTGTACTGATTTCGGAGTACCTTCTCGGTCATCTAGTCGGGAGCTGTTGATCAAAGTGGAGGACGCGAATGAGCACGCACCAGAGTTGGAGAGAAACAGCTACCACACTAATGTTCGTGAGAATGCGGTTGCTGGGACGGAATTAGTTCGGGTGAGTTGAACTTACTTTACTTATGGGGATTGGTAGCTGCGCCATCATCCGCCGGTATCTGACAATTAAATTCTTTGTTTTTCACCTTGCCTGGGCAGGTCATACGCTTTCTCACCTGAACGTTGGGCGATGTGCTTCATTTTTCCTCAGTGATTTGCTCGTAGTGTGCCTCCGAAATCCGTGTTCTCGCTGTTTTCTTCGGTTCGTTTTATCTTCACTCTAAAACAATCAGCTGATATAAATATTGTTAAGGTGCGTTTCGATGAGGATGGGATTGGTACGCATGACACTATGAACTTCGCTGTAAGTGGAAGTTCGAATGCGTTCCTTGAGCAGATCAACCGACCGACTTTATTTGTAACGCACGGTTATGAAGTACAAAATTCGGCGTCATGATTGGTGTCCATCCGCTTGTCTCCTTCCCTACTAATTAGTAGACCGTCCCTGGTGACGGTCGCGAACATGCTCCGTCAAACCATATGCCATGCGGCTGGCGCGTTTTCAGATCTGGATGTCTAGACGGAACTACCGTACATTTTGGGGTCAGTGAAAAAAGGTTATCACTGCGAAGTCCATCGTAACTGTCGGAGCTTAACCATCCAATAAATAGAAAAGGCCTTCTCGGTAAGGGACCATTCGACCCTCGCAGGTTTTGAAGCGTCGGTACAGCGTAACGGCGTACGGCTGTTGCCTTCTTCTCGGTAGTCGGTGAGCAGGCATATAGATGGTGTCCGTGTCAATGAAGCTGACTGATACTTGCTTTTAAGCTGAGGAACTAATATTTCCACCAGATGCTGGTATTCTACTTTGCGTTCCAATCTCTTGGACTGACTGGAGCAACTAACTAAAGGCAGTACGAGGAGGCAATGCTCGATGAGCTGTTGGTGCTTGATAGTCAAGCTACGATATATGAGATCGGACATTTTATGGTTCTCTAACTAATGGCCTTGACTCTAAAAAGAAACGGCATTTGTTGCAGATAGATGGGGGCAATTCTGATCTACTCCATTGCTGTACTAATTTGAGCAATTCTCTGTCCCGAAAAGAGCAGTTGCTGTCCATTGATTTTTCCGATATTCATGTTTACGTGACTGGATTTAGCTGCTTCGACCCATTTTTAGAGGAATTTGGGAAACGAAATATCCACCCACTATGATTGCACGGATGGTCGACTCGGGAAAAACGACGTCACATCTGGTCATCTTACGAATGGGCGGGTAGGCAGTTTGATTTTCGCTCGCCGATAGACAAAAGAGGATACAGATCGCACCGCGGGTTCGCTTGTTCACTCCGTTCGGAACTACCGACAGAGCTAGCTGATGCACCTCGCTAACATCCACTCGTAATTCAGCAATGCACCGATGCTTGAGTGGTCCGAATTCACGTCGACTCCGTCTCATTCTAATCTAGGGCTCAGGCGGTCCTCGCACTGCTGTTCAATAGGTAAGTGTTCAAGGGGACTCAGCCATGACACACTGAGAGTAAAAGTGCACCATCGACCGTTTGGCTTCGTCCAGGCTGTTTGCGGCTGTTTTGTGGCCTCTCGGATGCCTGCTGCGCGTTTGGTTTTAACCTGATGTCTCCTTCCTACTTTCCACCTATGTGCATGTAACTTTTATCAGACTGGTGAACCCGATTAGGAGGGGATGTGGCAAGTACGTTTTGATGCGGAATGAAATGCTGTGATCGTTAGTTCAACTAAGGATTCGGGTGTACGACGTTCACCGTCGATCCCCTCATCCACACGTACTCACTTTGTACTTTTCCGTGGTTAAGTTTGTATGTAATCCACTGCAGCGTAGTGCTGTTACTGACCACAATCTAGCGGACGCTATCTTTGAAGTATACATCTTATAACAAACGTATTTGTTTATTCCACTGGCCCACTCAAAACCAGCGACCGGCAGATGTACGCCATGGATGTCCAAACTTTTCGCAGGGAGGGCCACATTTTGTAAGATAAAAAATATGTCGGGCCATATTCAGCCTGACATTAAGGTAATGACAAAAATGAAATATCATACAACTTTTTAATTACAAGTTTAGTGTGAATGTGAGGTTTGGAAATCTTTTGTATTTTTTCATATAGTTAAGACCGGTTTGGGAAAAGTACTAGATTGTCTATTCCTATTTGGTTAAAAACAAACATTACTACATCATTGGTTTTTGCAGACATCTGACGACATTGAATTTGTACTCCTAACGCTTACTTTTTGTGGTCTATAACCTTGGATGTACGCATAAAACGCAAGCCCGTATCTATTATTTCATGACGAGGTCGCGGACCAGTTGAAAAATTAACATGGGCCGCAATTGGCCCGCGGGCCGGACTTTAGACACCCCTGATGTAAGCTGAAGTTACCATAGGAGCGCCCTGCTTAATCGATGTGTGCCCTTGGCCGTCCAAGTAAGACATATTTCGTTCACATAACGGCCATACAAGAGATTTTCCAGCGTAACCTTAATGTGTACCGTGAATGCACTTTCTCTGGTTACAAATACCATCCGAGCTCAGAGTAAATCGATTACCAACACATCATATTGTAGTACTAAAGACGTAAGCCCACTGAAAATTTTTGGCGTGACCGAAATTCGTCCAAGCTGTAAGATCGGGTCATCCAGAAGCACACAAATCGGTTACTCATTGGCAGCCTACCGCTCACTTGTGCTGATTGGGTGACGACTTTATTAAAAAGAAGTAACTTACAGGTTGAGGCCAGAGGTGTTAACTACGTATTATACCATTTCGCGCCATATATTTAGTAACCTATTATAAGCTGCGTTTGAAAAGTCCAGTGAATGGTCTCAGAAAATAAAGGAAACGAGTTTTAAACAAAATACATTTTATTGACTATCAAATTAGCCACCATTAGCTACAACACACTCCTACTATCACAGTTAAAGCTGTTAGAAACAGCAAACGCTTCTTGTGGCACCACGCGAAGCACCGTCTTCACGCTTAGTCGGACATCCGCAACGTCTGCTATGCTTTCGAGGCTAATTTAAATCGGGGAAATAAAATAGAGCCTGCCGGCATCAAATCTAGAATGTGGGTGTTGAAGAACGGTCATCTTGCGCTGAGCGGGAATGTTGATCACTGTGGGTTCCGGTCAGACGTGTCGATGAAATTTCTAGACGTTTCCATCCGAGTTTGCTTTGGTTCGTCTGTTAGCACTTGCGGTACGAACCGGACACAAGTCTTCTGCCCTGTTAAATGTTCGTGAACATACTGAGTACACTGTCCTTGTTTATACTCTACTGTTCTGCTATAATTCTGAAAGACAGCCGCCGATCATTCGCAAGCATCCGTCACACTGGTTCGATGTTGTCTGGGATTACACTTGTTGTCGGTTGACCTTAATGCTGGCCATCTTCTGCACCTTCCCTTCCGTCTAAATCGTTTAAACTACTCAGCCACACACTTTACTCACTGCTTCAACACCGTACACATGCACAAATATTTCACGGGTCTCCGTTTCACTTTTGCGTAATTTAAAGCACGAATTCTTGTTAAACCGTTGGTACAGTTTGTGGGCAACGTATCGCTTTTGACACAAAAGCTTCGTCAGGCCGATTGAACTCGTGAACCGGATACGCTTATCGACAATAAGTCCGTCATGTCAGTGATGAATAAGAATAAAACAAGGTTGCTAATTACTAAAGGTGCATCTAATACTGGAAAAATGCTACAACATATACCCGGAATCATCTCTTCCATCAAGAGCGTGTGGCTTACCGAAGATACATAAATTCCATTTACCCATTCGACTTATCGTAGATGGCGTAGGTTCCCCGACATTTGAATCAGCAAAATATTTGGCTTGCATATTGAAACCCTTGACAGAGCAAACGAATAACTTCGTAATGTACCCTTACACCTTTGCGAGAAACATGTCGGGTCTTGAGTTGAGTCGGATGAAATGTTGGTCACTTTCGAGATTAGGTTGCTCTTCACCACCATGCCAATATGCGACGCTTTGGAGATAGCGAAACACCGTCTAACCAGGGACAATAACATGGGGAAAGAGCAAAGCTTACGGTAGATCAACTAACGGAAGTAATGACATTGTGCTTTAACATGTCTTATTTAACGCTCCAACCTAAAGTATGCACTCAGAAACATAGATTTACCATGGGCTCTCCAATAGCCCCTGTGTTGACAAATTTTTACATGAAATAATTTTAATGGAGGGCGCTGACTGCCTCTTGTAGTTCACCGAAAATTTAGTGGCGAAATGTTTATGACCTTTTTGTTATCATAAAACGGGATAAGAGTGACTAGTTTCTTAACCGCTTAAACTCTTTTGCGGAGACTATACATTTTACAACCGATTTGGAATCTTGCACTGGAACATTGCCATTCCTTGACTACTTAGTTCACAGGAATGGGGTAGTCTAAAAGCGACGATATATCATAACCCGACGAACACAGTTAATGTACTCCACTATAGCTCAGATCACCAAAATCGTGTGTATGCCTCAATCACCTCACCTCTGTTTTACAGAACTCAAGCCCTATGCACAGAGGAGGAAGTCCGGAAACAAGCATTGAACTAATTGTTTGGTAGTGGATACCTGAGGCTGTTAGTAAAACGCCAGTTGCAACGAATTTTAAATCCTCACCGACGGCGTACTACGGAGTGGATTGGGACGGTAGGTATTCCTTATAAAGACGAAACTTCGGATGTCATCCAGAGGATTTTAAATAAAGAAAACATAAGGGTAATTTCCCAGAAAGGACGAACACTCGGCTCTAACTTTTGCACTTGAAAGACCCACTTTCCGCAGATAGGACAACCAATTGCGTCTACAAAATTTGTTGAAACGACTACGCACACGTGTACATCGGCCACACCGCGAGAGAGCTACGCACAAGGATAGCAGAACACAAGGGACGCATAACACGACCAAGGAGAAACGAGCTTGGATAAATAGCATAACTAAGGGATTCGGTAGTTGCGATGCACACGATAGATATAGGTCATGAGATCGGCTTGCAT